CAAGGACACCTATGTTGGTAAAATGCATGTTGAACAATCATCTAACAGAGATCAGAGGGGACAAACCAGCTGAGACCTGGCAACGAGATCTGGAGAACAGTCTGCACCAACAGGTCTGGATATTTGGTGAGGAGCTGGGTTGGAGGTACAGAAGGCAGGGGGTGAAACAGCATCAGCAAGCTCTCTGGCCTTTCCTTGCTGTTTAACACAGAGCAGGCCACATGGGGAAAAAGTCTGGATCTGCACAATCAAACTACGCAGGACAGCTTGCTGCCACCTTTGGATTTGTGAATTTTACTGAGCTGCACCAAAACAAGCTTAAGATGATTTTGCTGTCTGGATGAAGCTTCAAAAAGTACAAGGAAATCAGGAAACAACTCCCTCAGTGACCCTATTTATCAAGAGTTTCTGCATGGTTGTGACATGTTTTGTTTGCCCTATACTTTGGGCTAGGCTTTGTCATGGCAGGGTTATCACTGAAGCACCAGCTGAGGGTAACAGCAGCCAAAGGTGAGGTTTGATACACCTAGGAAAGAGAAAGCAAGTACAACCGTGTGGGAGGCTGGGTGAAAGGCAAGGAAAAGGACAAATCCCCCTCTGAAAAAAGATGTGGTTACACCGCAGGATAAGATCACACGGAGTGAGGAAGAAAATGCGGAAGATGTATTGTTTGACTGAGGGCTTTGGAGACTGCAGCAAAGTCTTGGAAGTGAATTCCTGTTATAAAGCTGACCTGAAACATGTACGTGGTACAGCAGTTGCTTTAGTTTTAGCAACTAACCGGATCCCTGCCAAAATTTTCTGGCAGCACACTTTTTGGGGAAAAGAGCTGTCTAGAGATTCCAAGAGGAAGCGTGCAGAGATGAGCAAAACGTTCAAAATCAGCAAAAACATCAACTGTGCTGCCTGACACAGAACATTTTTTCCTGTACAACTCTTCCACTAGGGCCCAAACAGTCGGGATCTTTTTTTCATTTTTTTCTTTCAGAAACAGAGTGGCTCAGTATCAGTCCTAAAGCAGCCAAAATGAAGCCAAATAGGCACATCCGACATCTGAATACTCACTCATCACCAGTGCTGGTTTGTTGTACAGTACCTAAATGACCCAAGACCAGCTAAGTCCTCTCACTTTGATCTATGGCTGAGATCCTCTGCATGCACAGTGGCCAGCTGCCTGTTTCCATGCTCCATGATTCATGAAGCAAAGCGTACTATTTTTCCAACCACGCCATGCAAAACACTTTCTACAGCTTTGCCTGCTGTGTTCAGAGCCTCGTCTGCATTAGCCATCGTCTAACTTCATGCTGGTCTTCAATAGGCAAGGAGAGACACAGGGATGGATGTCAGGAGATCTGGATTTGGTTTTCAGTCCACATCATACATTTAAACTTGGAAAAATCCACAACATCTGAGCTTTAATTCTTAACTTGCAAAATGCTGGAACTGCATTCCTCCATTACCTTCTCTTCTGTACTTTGAAAAGCGGTATTTTGGAACGTGTAAGCAATAAGACACCTGACAGGCCTGAACGAAGGCCAACATTGGAAAACTCCAGCAAATCACAATGACATCATAACAGACCTGAATAAAAACTGTTAGCAAGCAAAATCCAGTGGCTGCTGCCATTCTCCCAAGACCACAATCTCCCCCTTGGGGACTGTGACCTCTCTGGGGAGTACGAAGAAATCAAGCTGGTTCAATATTTT